CTTATGATCACATATAAGTATATCGGTAACCGTTCTACCAATTTGTACCAAACTCGGTATGGTTATTGTACTTGCCACGTGTAAGCAAAACGTTGAAAATTATTGAAATCGGACTAAAATAACGGCCGATTCTCATATAACGGTAAATTTAAGAAATGCTTGAAACTTCAGTATTTCGAAATTGAAGGACGCTAATTTACTCAAAATTGATACACCTCGGCTTACCATCTAGCGGAAGGTTTCGGAAGGGTGAAAAAACATATATTTAATACTTGCGCCGGGTATTTAATGTTCGGCTCCGCCCGAACTTAGACTTTCTTACTTGTTTTATAGATATATTTATTAAAAGCAACAATTCCAAAACAAACAATTTAGGTTGTCGAACGAACTCGCACATTTTTAGCAGCTGTTTTCCTAAATTGTAGCAGTGCTGGAAATTCCCAGTGGAATATTAGTTTAGGTACTCAAATTTAGGTAAACTCGCACACAGCCTAAATCGAATAAGCTGCTCGTTGATATAAATGCGAACTGTACTGATTGTCAAAAATTATGTGTTTGTTGTACAATTGTTCATGTTTGTCATTGTGCGTGTAATTTTCTAGAGTAGTTTTGTGCTCTTGCTATCTCCTTGTATAAACTCGTCCTTCGTTGGTATACTCTGATGAACATATGTGAGGATGATAGCAAGGCCAACTTATATAAGGTAGTGTTACAGGAGCAGTTGAAATTTTCGCCCGATGTTTCTTAAAGAAAGCCATAAACGTAGCGACCGTTGGTTCAACTTGGTGTTGTTTTGCTCTAGATTGCACCGTTTGTGGGCCTGTTGAATGAATTTATGTCTTGGTTGTATGAAAGATCAAAAAATTTGAATTTTCTGGCAAGTTGTACAACTTATCGCTACATTAATGGCCATGTTGTACAAACTCATTTAATTTGCGCTTATTTTGTGATTTACAATAAATAACCGAAAATGGATAACTCAGCCGAAATAGGTACGTGCTTTCGTTGAATTTTATAAATGTAAGCCGAAACTATGAAATTGTAAAAATGAGATTTTACAATGAGACTGCTCGCAAAATTGCAATGTTTGTGGGCAAAACGTCCAACTTGATTGCGGATTGATTTGAACCAATGTTTTCGGCTTGTATTATGTCAAAAGGATGTGTTTGTTGTAACTCATTGTGTCATTTACTACCATTATGCGTAGGCCAATTCATGAAATCATTTCATGCGTTTGAGTAGAAACTGAATGAATGAACANTATGCGTTTGAGGTAGAAAATAAATGAATGAACACCATTTCATGATTTCAATTAACGCGAAATAGAGTTTATGCACTTAGTTTTTACTCAGATCGATGAAATGATGTCGTGAATTGGACTACGCATTCATGTGATACTTATGCTTAAATCCATTTTGCAAACAAAAGTGCGTACGTTACTTAGTGCCTTGGTAATGGCGAATTCGTAAGGATCTATTGATTGCATTATAAACATTTTCATTTATTTGTTAAACATACAATTACTTCCATTACAACCCGGTCCTATGGATGCTAGAAGCGCGAATTCATATAAGGTGGTGTCACCGGAAAATTAATAAATAAATTATATGTATATCAGAAAATTAATAAATTGAAATGAAATTATTGTTTGACTTCTAACCAAACCTATGTATGTAACTCAATCGCCTAATATTTTGCCGAACCGTAAACATATGTTTACACATCCAATTTCGTGAGTAGGTACCTGGTACTCACACCTTTTTTAAGAAGTTTCACTTCTATCATGTGTACGGTGTTACATACGCATAATTTTTATTTTTGCTGGTTTCTTTGTTTTCATATACATAAGTACTTATATACATATTTTTCATATACATAAATAAGTATATATTATCTAGGTGTGCATTCAGTGTGAATGCTATGATATCGTGGGCGGGATATTTGGTGAACCGAGCTAGCGTTATTGTGATTAAGTACAAGATGAAGAATGCAGCTGTGCTATTACTTCGTACATATCTTGGAAACCCCAAATAATGTGTATTTTAGATATGCCAAAATTGTAATATTTTTCCTTATTTTAATTGTAAGTATGCACACTAGGGTGGTCCAAAAATTCACGTGAAAAAGTAAAGTCGGAATTTTTATGCTCTCACCCCCTAGGATTGTTCTATACCGAAAAAATATAACTATAAACCCACAAAAAATGCAATTGAGCGACCAATAAAAGATCGTTAGTATTAAAAAATGGTAACATAAACAATTGGGTGTTATTATTGAAATTCTCCTGAAGAGAACCAGAGTTTTCCGATCGAAAAATATTGACTTTCAAGAATTCTATACCATTTCTACGAAAAAATTTATTTTTCCCCTATAAAAATACATGGAAAACTTTGAGCGCTTTGAGCGACCTCTAAATATCTTTTGATTTCAAAATAAAAAAAATAGGGGTACACTTTTTATCGACTTAGAACAATCCTAGGGGGTGAGAGGATTACAGTTCCGACTTTACTGTTTTTGGACCACCCTAAAGTACACAGTATGCAACTATACCCCCTATAACCTAACTGGGAAGACGCATACATTCTTACCTACATTTGTACATACATATGCATGAATGGATTTAGTTCACTTTATGTGCCGCTCCTAATCTTACTCTTACTAATATTATAAATGTGAAAGTTTGTATGTTTGTATGTTTGGGAAATCATCACGCGGAAACGACTGAACGGATTTGCATTAAATTTTGTACGCAGATAGCTTATGGGCCAGATTGGTTAATAGGATATTTTTTTAAGAGTTGCCACCTGTTAAAAAAGTTTCATTAAATTAATACGCGGAAACGACTGAATGGATTTGCATGAAATTTTGCAAACAGATAGCTTATAACCTACTGTAGAAAATAGGCTAATTTTTTGGAATAGTTGCCACCTGTTAAAAAAGTTTAATTAAATTAATACGCGGAAACGACTAAACGGATTTGCATGAAATTTCAATCTCATAAATGGTTTATAATGACTTTTGCTAAAATTTCAAAATCAACAACGGGCCCTTAGCTTAGATGAAAATGCTTCAGTTTAAGATAGACTTTACATATAAAGAACTTTTCTATTTAAAACAACAAAATAAAATCTTTGTAAGAGCTGTTTTCATTATATTGGTTTGCTCAAGCAGCAGCAGTATGGTACCGCGCGGTATAACCCCGTATGGCATGTTTGCTCATGTATGGATATCTTACTATTATTATAACGGTAAAAGTTTGTATGTTTGGATCAGTGAATCCCAAAGTGGTCCAGGTGGATCCCCCGGGATCCACAGAAGACTTGACGGGGTCCACGGCGACGTGAACAAAATATGGGAGTCCATGAAATGTAAATGGGGGTCCACGAAAATTTATCTGGTTTCGATGTAAAGAACCAAAATGGTTGCTTGATAGCCTCTTTATTTAACTTTAAATTTTTGAGTGGTGTATAGTGCTCTTGACCCACTGCTGCACTTACCGTCACTTAGTGTTTTCACGTGGGGTAGCCTTAAAGGCCACCTACAGACTAAAAAGAACCGGATGCTGGTATGATAATAAGTGGGGCGCGGCGAAAATTTGCTGGCGGCAGGGATTTAAACACTTGTGTCTTTTCAATGCTACAGGATAGTACACCACCATTACCTTTGTTGAAGAGATTCTATAATGTTAAGTTCCCTGGGACTGAAAGCTGGTTTGATTCCATAGCTGCGACCGGACTCACACATTGTCGAATCTTCTTACAGATGCCTCCAAAACTGACTCTTGGTCATGATCTGGGGTATTTTTCAAGGTTAATGGAGATAAGCTTCACTTTTCTGTTGGGGAATATACCTCGGTCTTCCAGGCTGAGGTAATTGCAATACTCAAAGCCATGGACTACATGGTGGAACATAGATGGAGGGAAAAGAGTTTACGTGACTGCAGTGACAACCAAGCTGTCCTTAAGGCTTTGACCAGCCCTCTATTTAAGTACTTCCAATCTATTTAAGTACGGCAATCGAAGCCACCATCAGAAACTGGGTGAATACTTCACTCCGAAATGACTGAGAGGCATCGAGGGGATGCAGGTGGGCAAAACTCATGTTGCCTTCAATCTCACAAGGTATATCTGATTTTTTGCTCTAACTGAGCAGACGACACTGCAGACAACTTGCTGGGCTGCTGACTGATCACTTCACGTGGCACAAACACCTGACTCTGATAGGCGTAAATGACATCCTGCCTTGAAGAGAATGAAACGTTGGAACACTTTTTGCGCTTGCTTGGTTGTATGTCATCGATTTTTCTAATCTAAAATAGGCAAATTTTTTGGAAGAGTTGCCACTTGTTAAAAAAGTTTAATTCAATTAATACGCGGAAACGACTAAACGGATTTGAATAAAATTTTGCACACAGATAGCTTATGACCTAGGTTAGAAAGTAGGCTACTTTTTTTAAGAGTTGCCACCTGTTAAAATGTTTAATTTAATTAATACGCGGAAATGAGTGAACTGATT